CCTTTTAAAAAACAAGTTTACATCCTATTCTTATGCAGGCCAGTGCTGTGTGTGAGGTCATTTAAGGTGGTTCTGACAAGTGTCGTCGGCATCTTCATATCCGGTCACATGGGCGGCAAGCCACTCCCACAAAGGAGGCCACACCCACTGAGTAGGTTCGAACAATTTTTGAAACCCACCACTGTGTTTTGAGGAAAGAACTGGAATAAAATCGGTCGAATGAAAGCCTTTATCTTTCATTTTAATTTTAATCTCATTATTTTATCTTTTGGCCCCTTCAAGTCAGCCTTGATTCCAAGAAACTGTCTGGAAAAGTCCCTGAAGTTTACTTGGCAAGATTTCAGAAGTGGTTTGTCATTGCTTGTATTCCTAGGACTAAGAGAGATGGACAGGCCCAGGGGCTTCAAGTTGAGTTCGTGCCCAAGATAGTATTAGAGTCTCTTGGTTGATGAACAAACTGCTTCCTGTGCTATAATAATAATTAATTATAATCTGCTAATCCCCTTTAGATTTTCTTACCTAAAGCTCCAGAATTCCTTCTGCCATGGTTTCAGTGTCTTATGATTCGAAGACCAGGTGTTTCCTCTGCTATTCCCAAGCCAAACATCGTAACCGTTATCTGCTAATATGAAACCAAAACTGTTGTGGGGCTGGTTAGAAATCCAGTGGGAACCATCTCCAAGGCAGCTATGTGCCAAAAACACAACAGGTCTTGGAGCTATAAAATAAGAACAGATGCTTTTTAAAAAAATGAGCCAGATCATTGAAGACTGCAAAACAATTGAAGCATTGATTGCAAATAAAACTTGCAAAGAATCAACATTTGTGGTTGATTGTCACAATCTCTTATTAGAATGCACTACCTGACTCTGTTGTTACATCTTCAAATCCCCAAAACCTTAACCTTAAACTGTCTACTACTGACCTCACTCCATTCCTAAGAGGTCTGTAAGGGGCATGCATAAGTGCACCATTGTTCCTATAGTCCCTATCCTACTTTCCTCATTTATTCGTACCTATTTCATTCATACTCATGTTTAGTCTTATACTTATTATCTTGTAAATGATTGACACATCAAATAAATAAATACTATATGTTACACCGGCTGGAATGAAAGCATGATCATTATGTGATTAAATCTATAGAATTTAGGAATTGGGGGTTTTATTGATTCAATGGGTTTACTCTAAGCATGTGCAAATCCATTCTTTTGTCTCCAACATTATGATATATTCTCAACAGTATCATGATATAATCTCCAAATCGTGCCTATAGTCCCTATCCTACTTTCCTCATTTATTCGTACCTATTTCATTCATACTCATGTTTAATCTTATACCTATTATCTTGTAAATGATTGACACAACAAATAAATAAATAGTATATGTTACACCGGCTGGAATGAAAGCATGATCATTATGTGATTAAATCTATAGAATTTAGGAACTGGGGTTTTATTGATTCAATGGGTTTACTCTAAGCATACGCAAATCCATTCTTTTGTCTCCAACATTATGATATATTCTCAACAGTATCACGATATAATCTCCAAATCTTATATACAAATGATGTAGTACTTTTCTTTTTTAAATGAAATTGCCTAGACTGTTTTATCTTATTGGATTATCGATTATTTTAGAAACAGTATCATGATATAATCTCCAAATCTTATATACAAATGATGTAGTACTTTTCTTTTTTAAATGAAATTGCCTAGACTGTTTTATCTTATTGGATTATCGATTATTTTAGAAACAGTATCATGATGTACAATAACTCAAGATTCCCCCAGTATAACCACAAATTGAGGATATATTTTTTTTCTTAATCTTTCAAGACTCAACCTAA